AATTGTACAAGGACATTAAATTTAATTTAAAGGTGGTTTTGTTGAAAAATTGAACTTTACAATGGTTGATTAAATGATGAATTTTGTGAGGATTTGATTTTCTTACCTTACAATAATTCTAAAATTATTGTACGGTATAATTACCACGCCTCCTTTGATACAGTGCAATAACTTGCAGTTTCTGAAGTTACTGTATGATGCTAGGCCACGCCTACCTGGGTGCAGAACGAGTATTGGAAATTACAGTACACTAGTCATCAAAGAAAATACGCCGCATAAGTGCCACAACTACGTTTTAAAGTACGTACTGTGTACGTTTTGTGTACACGTGTCTTTTTTACGTCTGGAAAATCGCCTATTAAGCCACTATGCACTGTGACGTCATACTTGGCAGTGATTCAAAACTATAACTTTATAATGTGGTTAAATAAAGGATATTCAATGTTTTGTAGTTGGATATGGAATTTATTTCACGAGTAAAACAAGATTTTTTTTTAATATTTTCACGAGTGCGAACATTACCAAATAACTATAAGCCCTATGCATGTTGACCAAACTTGCATGGATGATACTTCAGTCTAAGGATGCTCACTACCAGGCTTGCTTCGGATGCTGGATCTGAACTACAATTTTTGTATAACGAATTGGTGATTCAAAAAAGTTGAGAGTGTGTGTGTTTAATCATAATGAATAGTGGTTCGGTTGCGAATTTGATCGCCAAAATACCGCGAATATTAGTGGTTCACGTAAAGTCTGCAACACAGTAAAATTTCAAATGATGGAGAACCCTGCATGCTTTAAAAATTTCAAGTGTAAACGTTCAATCAAAAGTTATGGGCAAGGTTAAAGTTTTTGCGGACAAACAGACAGACGGACAGGGCAAAAACTATATACCCCCGAAACTTCAAAACGGGGGCATAAAAACTGCACCAAAAACCTGGGACGCCGAGCCGAGGGTGTCACATAAGCTCCCCCCAACTTCGTTGAGGAGAGCTAATTGTATGAAAGAAAAGGAATTTTAAACGGATATTTCATATGTCTTGATCTTTAGAAAATGTTAACAATACATTCTGATATGAAATTACAAGCAATTTTATCAACATTTCCAATCCTTGTCTGAACGATACATGCGATCAAAGTTCCAGTGGCAGAAAAAAATATTTATTTATCTTAAACACGGGAATATAATTTTCCATCACTTACAAGACCTTAGTGTTTTGATCATGGAAATACCAGAAATGCAATATCATACTGCAATTTCTATAGATATTTTTTTAAATATTAAATCGGCATTATAATATATCATACAGTTTAACAATGTTACATTTAAGCCTTGAAGAGCTTTTAAATTTTAACCGACTATAAAAAGTTTTAACCTCAGTAGCATAACAAAGAGTTTATTCTATACAGAAAAATGCAGTTTACAACAGATTACATCACATAATCTACGGAAGCCCATTTAGGACCTATCTAAAAATATTTTCAAATTCGATATAACGAATTGTAGAATTGGTTATAACAATTTTAATTCGTTATAACAATTTCTTTAAATTCGTTATAACAAATTTAATCTGTTATAACAAATTTGTTGAATTAGTCATAACGAATCAAAAAATTTGTTATAACAAATTTATTTCGTTATAACAAATTCAAAAATTTGTTGTAACGAATTAAATTCGTTAAATCAAATTCAACAATCGGGGCCTATAGAAAAATATGTATGAATTCGATATAACGATTTGTCGAATTCATTTTAACGAATATAAGTCGTTATAACAAATTAGAGAATTCGTTTTAACGAATTTAATTCGTTATAACAAGTTTCAGAATTCGTTATAACAAATTTTTGAATTCGTTATAATGAGTTCAATAAATTTGTTATAACAGATTAAATTCGTTATAACGAATTCAAAGAAACTGTTATATGACGAATTAAATTCGTTATAACAAATTCGACAATTCGTTATATCGAATTCAAAAATATTTTTTGATAGGTCCTAAATGGGCTTCCGTACATAATCAAAGAAATTCGGCAAAGATACAATGAACTTTACAGATAAACTTTAATTCTGGAATACATGTAGTCAGTGCATGACATCGTCGGAGAAGACTGCTTATGTCCATTGAGCAATTATGGCTCTTATTTCTGCAAGAAACGACTGTGGCGTAGAACCTCTGCATGTTTATACGAGTTCCCATCCAATTCCATGCATTCTGTTTGTTCAAATGACCAATACAGGTTTCTTTTAGGCACGGATTATTGAGTTTAACTGCTGGGAGGGGGGGGGTATTAGCTGGGGTCAGAATTTTTTCGCATGCTTCTCGTGTCAACTCGAAACAAAAAAAAATCGGGGGGGGGGGACATGTTTGTTAATTTTAAAAATTTATGATGCTGTCAGTCCTCCTTGATATATTTCCTCCTCTCTCTCTTATATTTATTAACTTTCAACATCTTTTTGTACTGTATATGAACCTCTGACCAGTTTGTATGAAATGCATATACATGCATGTTATTTTTGTACCCTATTTACCAATATTTGGTTTCGATGCATGCGGAATAAACTGAACTCGAACCTGAACTCTTTCACGGCACCTGATCATACCTTCTTCTTATTTTACGATTAAACAGGAAAGTCGGTGCATGTAAACGTACCAGCGCTTTGTGCAGGAATTTACGAAAGCCTATTAGGATCAAACTACGGTAAAAAAAAATTAAAAGGCGTTATTACGCGAAAAAGGCGTAAAAATGCCTTTTAAAAGGCGTTATAACGCCGAAAAAGGTGTAATAATGCAAATAAAGGCGTAATTACGCCTTTCCAAAAGGCGTTATAACGCGAAAACGCCTTTTAAAAAGGCGTTATTAAGCCTTTTAAAAAGGCGTTATTACGCCTTTCTAAAAGGCGTTATTACGCCTTTCCAAAAGGCGTTATTACGCCTTTCTAAAAGGCGTTAATACGCCTTTCCAAAAGGTGTTATTACGCCTTTAAAAAAGGCGTTATTACGCCTTTCCAAAAGGCGTTATTACGCCTTTTCAAAAGGCGTTATTACGCCTTTCCAAAAGGCTTATTATAACGTCTCTTTTTTCAATACATGACTTACTTAGCCCACCCTGGGGGCTGATTATAATTAGATTCCAAAAAAAAAAATTTTAATTGTGTAAAATATTTTCAGTGTTAAACCAACTTAGTCCTTCTCTGATGCCAGACGCCTCTACCAAGGTGCATGGATTTCAGAAATTTGGTTGAAGGCTAATTGCTCATTATACCTATGCGAATAGTTTGCCTGTTTTTTTCCGAGAGGAGAGAAAAATATTTCAAATTTGACATTAATTTTTAATACGTGGCTAGCAAAGCCCAAAGCTGGTTCTGCCTATATCCTGGATATTCAAAACTAGAGTGTTGACTTCTCTTAATATGCATGCAAAATGCAAACAACTGTCTGCGAGATGTGCAAGAATATAGAGAATACTGTAATTTATAATATAATTTATAATATTAAAAGTTTTAAAACTATAATCTAAATATTGCATAAATAAAGATGGCTTTGGTTTAATCTTTCATATATTTACTATTTTAAAATAACGCCTTTCCATTTTTGGATATAACTCCTTTTCAAACAGGCCGGTACTACGAATGCGAGGGGAGGGGGGGGGGGGCTCCCCCACCCCACTTTTTGGGAGAATAGTCTTGCTATAGTTTAAATATAAAAAAATCATTTATTGATTGCTTGGTCCCTTAACATTTTGTTGCAGTATGGTTAAACTCGGGCAAGTCATTGCATTTAAAAAAAGTTTTACCGAAAAGTTAGAAAAATTCCCCTCAAGTTTAGGCAGTTTATTTTTTTTCGGGGTGGGTGGGTGGGGGGTTCTTGTTTTTTTGTTTGCTTGTCAATTTTATGGGACCCCCCCCCCCACTTCACACTTCAAAAGCACGGGCCTGTCAAAGACATAATAATGGCCCTTCAAAAGGCATAATAACGCCTTTTTGAAAGGCGTATTAATGCCTTTTATTAGAAAGGCATAATAACGCCTTTTGGAAAGGCGTAATAACGCCTTTTAGAAAGTCGTAATAACGCCTTTTGGAAAGGCGTAATTACGCCTTTATTTGCGTTATTACGCCTTTTTCCGCGTTATAACGCCTTTTCAAAAGGCGTTATTACGCCTTTTTTCGCGTTATAACGCCTTTTGAAAAGGCGTTATAACGCCTTTTAAATTTTTTTTAACCATAGTTTGATCCTAATAGGCTTTCGTAGGAATTGAACCATGTAATAAAAAAAGATTTAAAAAAAAAATCACAAGTACTCCGAAGTTGACATTAAAAAGATGCTTGAGTTTCTGTTTCAGTATCTATGTAGGCCTAGTTTTGGAAATCAATCTTCCAACAATCTGTCGGAATTCCCAATAGGTTGTATCTGTAGTGTGCAAAGGAATTTAATAATTTGTCTCTTCACCAGTTTCAGTTTTTAAAAATAGTAATCATTTTCTATCATCAACTGCTAACTTAGGAAAAACTTTGACAAGCAAAAAAATAAAATAAATAAAAAATAAATAAATAAATAAATAAATAAATAAATAAATAAATAAATAAATAAATAAATAAATAAATGAACAATAATAATAATAATAAAATAAATAATAAAAAAATAAAACCGTAAAGTTTCCAAACTCCCAAATCATATTTCATGTGTGTGTGTGTGTGTGTGTGTGTGTTGGGGAAGGGGGGGTCCAAAATTTTCACAGCACTTCGGGCTCGATGAATCTTGTATTCCTCAGGGGGCTAAGTCATCGTATTGACCTCAAAAAACAGCAATAATTGAATAATATCCATTGTGTGTACTTTAAAATAGTGCCGTGTTACTGTAACTGTTATTGTATTCATTTTGAAGAAATCCACACGTCTTGTTCGATTTTCCGGATTTGGATCAGAACTTGATTTTTTTTTTTTTAGTCTTCAATGATGATTTCCAGTTTGGCCTGGCATCACACAGCTGTTTTTCTTTTCGACAGGTGGACGGTTTTCTACGTGTAAAAGCGTTTTCCTGGTAATTACTTCCTCGCAGGACAGTACACCAAAAATTTTACAAAAAAATTCTCCATCCAGGAAATGTCTTGCAAGTGACATCTTGTATATAGAGAGCATTTGTTAATTTTTTATTCGGAAAAATTCCCCCGAAATTTTAAAAAAAATATATATCCTGATCTGCTTATTACCGTATCTGTGAATTAGAATTCATATAAACTCTATTTCAAATACATTTTAAATGTCTACAGCAACATTTAGTTTCTCTTGTTTTCTTTTTACAGACAAAACTGGTTTGCAAACTATGGAAGAATCAGAGATCTTAAGACTTAATGTGGGTGGACATATTTATACAACGACAAGGTCTACCCTTGTCAAGTATCCAGATTCAATGCTGGGAGTGATGTTTAAAGGTGATATCCCATCCAAAATGGACCAGGATGGAAACTACTTTATTGACCGAGACGGACAAATGTTCAGATACATACTGAATTTTTGTAGATCTGGAAAACTTTGTTTGCCACAACACTTTACAGATTATGATTTACTGGAAAATGAGGCTGATTTTTACCAAATTCAACCCTTGATAACCAGCATCACATCTTCAAGACAACATGCAATGAAAGAAAACTTGGAAGTTCATTACTTAGAAATCGTGGAAGTGAGAACAGGTACAACTGCAACAATGCCCTCAAAAAATTCTCGGGTGAAAACTATTTTACTTGGAAGGAAAGAAGATTTACTTGCACTGCCCTCAACTCTTGTTGGTGAAGAGGCAGCAGAAAGATTGGAATGTAAAAATGGATCAAATTATGTGGAACTAGAAATTTTTGGAAGTAATGTGAGAATTCAGCTAGCAGATTTTCTAAGTAACAGTGGATGGGTGAATGAAAATTCAGACCTATCATCCTCATCCAGTTTAACAAAAGGACAGGACACCAGCATACTCTGCATAGAACAGAGTTACAGGGATCGCTGGAAAATATACAAACAGAAATAACTGATAACAATTAAAATTAGGGCTCCTACAGGTCTTTCACACAATGGAAGTTACATGACTATTTTATATTCATAAATTCTATAGCTGCAGATCGATACATGTACATGAAGTTCATGTGCCATATAATGTTTTTAACATTGAAATGTGTTCATTGAAGAGATCGATCTTTCTATTTTCTTTTCTGCAAAGTTCATTGCAAATATATAACAATGGATTTTAGATATAAATGATATCATTTTTTGAAAAAATTGAACAATTTTTATTTATTTAATTTATGTACTTTTATCTACACCATTAAATATGATTATTTATTACATTTTCAACAGTAAAATACTGTAATTTTTCCCTTGAATAACAATGGTATTTTCATATCAAATATATATATATATATATATATATATATATATATATATAAACAATTGGCAATTTGTAACCAGTTAACTTGGTCGAAAGGATGGTATTCAGTTAGAAAATCTGTAATCAGTCTGTCAAAAAATTGAAATACATGAAAATTAATTTGAATGCAAATTTCTTAAAATCATTTAAAAAAAGAAAAATCTGCATAAATGTTGATAATTATTAATAAACATTTTTGTTTAAGCTGATTTGAGGTAATTAAGGCTCACCGGTTTAAGTTTGCTGGGTAACTGGTCAGTTGGAGAAGTGTTTATTACTGTTCAAACACCATGCCCCCAACTGCAGGATTGTCCCTAAGAGCTGGGGAATTCCCCCCACCAGTAATGAGGTAATACCCTGGCTACTCTTGTATTCCCCCTTATCCCCCTTTTAAGGAAGGAACCCTAGACCCCCTCCTACTTTTTGAATATCTCCCACTATTTTAATTCATATGGACAACCCTGCAACTGCTCTGTCAATTAAATCCCCGTTGATTGCTGTATATATATATATATATATATATATATATATATATATATATATATATATATATATATATATATATATATATGTATAGATTTCAAATCCAGATAAACAGAATGTTTCTAACTTCTTACATTTTTTTTAGTCGTCTTGTGGATATGAATAGAGCTACTTGAAAAAAAAAATGTCAAGAAAATTTTAATGTGTATTTTGATACGATTAACTGGTTAAATAATGGGTCAGAACATCTTGCAGTTAACCAGATTAGCTATTCTGTATTCAATTGCCATCCCTAATGTATTATATTTATATATATCGAGTTCCTTGGATTTGATGTGCAGAAAAGCTGTATAAGATTCCAGTGGGCTTACCCAAGCTTTAGAGTAAGAGTGGAGAATACCAGAGGGTCCGATGATATGTTATTAGAATTTGCATCTATTATAATCTGATTTTTGAACAGGAACATAGAGATGAATTGGTAAGGGATTAAAACTAAAGAAAATTAAATTTAAATCATAGAAGTAGATTATTTTTGTAATTTTCATTGACTGAAAGGATGCCAAGTGATATTCGTCCTTTTGTGATATTAACGCAAAAGTATGTCTGTGGAAGATATCGCACGATGCACCATTCGACTGCACCAAAGTTACATAGAACGTGACGTCATAATATAAGAAGCTAGTTTTTACCATTGTGGTGTAATGACAGCCAAGTCTGTTCAGATAGAACTGTGTCAGATTATTAACTTTGAGTGATTATATAATATAACTATTATGAACTTCAGTGAATGGTCAATATGTGGTTATAAGGACCCATGTCAAGTGATATTGACTTCAGACTGACATAGAAAATGATAGCGACTGAGCTTACTAGGTTGGCTATCACTTTCTGTGTCTTCAGTCAATATCACTTGACATATGGAACGCCAAATTAACATATATTCAAATATTTGTACCTATCTTCAAATAATTGTACCTATCTTCAAATCACTTGTACCTATCTTCAAATGAATTGTACCTATCTTTAAATCAATTGTACCTATCTTCAAATGAATTAGAGATAGGTATAATTCAATTATACCTAGATCTTTAATTCATTTGAAGATAGGTACAATTGATTTGAAGATAGGTACAAATGCAATGAATTGAAGATAGGTATAATTGATTTAAAGATAGGCACAATTAAATTGAACCTATCTTTAATTACTAAGATATTGGCAATAATAACTACTCCCTTCATTATACGTCATTTCCGTTATGTCTACCGATCTCCGACACTTTCGGGGTACTCGGGTATATATATTTTTTCGCTCACTTATTGACATACATGTGTATTTTAATAAGTATATAATGCTTTTTGCACATTTTAACATACCTTTATTTCTCCTTTCAATCCTCGTTGTCGTGGCTCTGTATGTTTCCCTCCATGTTCAACATTGTCTCCTAGGGAGCGTTCATTATTTTCAATAACACAGAACGAATTGAACCTAGGTATAATTGAATTGTACCTATCTTCAAATCCTTTGTGGATATGTTCTAATTGTACCTATCTTCAAATGAATTGTACCTATCTTCATATCAATTGTACCTATCTTCAAATGAATTGTACCTATCTTTAAATCAATTATACCTATCTTCAAATGAATTAGAGATAGGTATAATTCAATTGAACCTATCTTTAATTCAATTGAAGATAGGTGTAATTCCATTAAAGATAGGTATAATTTATTTGTACCTAGGTATAATTATTTAGAGATAGGTATAATTATTTACACCTATCTTCAATTCAATTGTACCTATCTTTAATTCAATTGTACCTATCTTTAATTCATTTGAAGATAGGTACAATTATTTGAAGATAGGTACAATTATTTGAAGATAGGTACAAATATTTGAATATTTGTTAATTTGGCGTTCCATATTGACATGGGTTCTTAAAACCACATATCTACCTACACTGAAGTGCATTATTGTATATTAATATATTTTAAAGTAGACACCCATGGGCCACAATACTCACCTGAGTAGCTATGGCTCTTCTGGCTCCAGGGCCATAAAACTAATAGATGAGCTCACTTTTGATCTCAGTCTCATGCACTTTTCATTATATATTAGGCCAATAAAAATAATAGTCTTGTTTCCTGCTACCAGCCTGAAAAAAATAGGGTCGGTAGGTAGGAAAATTATTTTATTTTATATTTTTATTTTATTTTTTTTGGATATGAACTAATACAAGATCAAATTAAACATGTCACAGGTCAAAATTGTCTTTTAAAATTGAATTTCATGTCTTTTTATGCACAACTCAAGTGGTATTTTATGAAAGTCCATATTTAAAACAAGAATTTCATGAAATGCTTGTTTTGTGCTAACACGAAAACCGATTACGGTGACAGAACGATGAAATTCCGGAAATTCCCGATTTTTTTTCTTCCAAAACTTAAAAAAAACTTTAGGGTCGGGTGCAAAAAAATAGGGTAGGTCGGGTAGCAGGAAACAACACTATTATTTTTTTGGCCTTAATTCCTTTTGTGAAAGTGAGATAGAAATCAAAAGTGAGTTCATCTAAGCTTTATGGCCCTGGAGCCTGTTCTCTTCTCAGCAAATTCTTTTTCCCAATGTGTTCCTATGTTAAATTGAGATAATATATTGTGGCCTCACCTTAACCTTAACCCCCCCCCCCCCCAGCCTCACCCAACCCCAGGTGTCATGATTTGAATAAACTTGAATCTGAGGATATTCCAAATAAATATGAATATTTTAACATGGCTTTGCTGTTCTGAAGAAGAATTTTTAAGATTTTCCCTATGAATCCCAATGTGAAACTTCGATCGCCTACAGTGCCCCCCCCCCCTCCCCCCCCCCCCCCCCCCCGGTCATGATTTGATCAAACTTGAATCTATAGTCTACAGTACTCCAGAAAGCTTTCATCTAAGATTCATCTTTTCTGGCCCAGTGGTTCTACAGAAGAAGGTTTTTTAATTAACTCAACCAATTTTTACTATTTCCTAATTATCTCCCCTTGGAACAGGTGTTGCCCTTCATATGAACAAACTTGAATCCCCTTTACCCAAGGATAATCTGTGTCAAGTTTGATTGAAATTGGTCTAATGGTTCTGGAGAAGAATTAAGATAAAAAAGTGAAAAGTTTAAGACAACGCCGACATCAACGGACAAATTTTGAGAAGAAAAGCTCACCTGAGCTAAAACACTTTTCGTAGTAGTGCATCGTAGTAGCACGGTTTTTTGAAAGTTATGCATTACATCACAATTACTTGCAATTGAAAAATGGATCCATTACACAGTACATCCCAATAATTTGAAAAAATGTAATGATTACAATGCAGTTGCGTACCCCAGTTGCTCGGGATCGAGATTCAGAAAATACCTACCAAATATTATTTTGCTTGCGCCAGTTTCGTCCTTTTTTGCAGATCTATGAGATGAGAATGTTATGAAGAAAAAGAAGGAAACGTATTCTTAGGCGTGGAAGACCAAGAAAGAAAGTATGCAAAGTTATACACTGTATTGAATATGCATCTTTGCATATGTTCACGAGTTGCATTGTTTGGGTTATAGTTCTTGGACAAATTAATTATTTGAAGTCTCATAATCTCATGCATGCTAAAGATAAGGGCTAGTGAATTATAAATGCTATGAAAAATGAACAAAAGAAAAATTAACACTCTCTGAGAGTGTTATTATCACTAGCCGCTTGGTTTCAGGGTGGTGTATTTTTGTGTTTTTCTATGCCTGAGCAGGTCCAAAGACTATTTCTACCTGCGTAGCTACTTACAGCTACCTAGGTATTTAAACCTACTCCAGGTTGCTATTTTTTACTTACTTTTTGCTTTACTTACATTTTGTGGCCAAACGCAGGAATGGTGCAATATGGTGAGCACCAAATTTAATAATACAGTGACACTGATGTTGAATATGACAAAAATTTTGGCAAAAGATGATTACTTTCTAACTTGTCAATTTTGTATAAAAAACTATATCAAGTTTCATTTTCTGGTAGCTTTAAAAACTAAGTCTAATGACTTACAAATCTGTATCAATTTTAAAAAGTTAAATCTTCAAGCATTCTTAGATAAAATGTTTTTGGGATGATTTTTAATGCATTTCTTCTACAATCTCCACCCTTAAAAATTTTTCAAATTATCACCCTGAATTTTTTCGTGCAAGTGCACAGTATGATAAACAACAAGTTTGACTTGTTTTAAAGATGTGCCATAATTATTATTTAATTTTATTTTCAAAGGCAGGTAAAAGTAGGTAGAAGTAGCTACTTCAAGTAAGTTTAAATACCTAGGTAGCTGCTAATAGCTACATAGGTAGAAATAGTCTTTTGACTGGACCTGAGAACACTGATTAAAATAATAATAAAAAATCGCTGAAATTAGCAGGTTTTAAATACATCATTTTCTGTATTTAAAAAAACATAAGTTGTGACACTTGCCATCTTGGATTCTTCTGGCTACCTTGATTCACATTTCATTTTGATCAATATCTACCAGTACTAATTTTTCCTACCAATGTTGGATGAGATCTAGCTTCAAAAATGATTAAATGACTCCTTTCAATCATATGCTGATTTGCACATGCTGATTAAAACATGCAGTACACCAAAACATCCTCGGTACCTAGCACATACAAAAGAAAGCAATGTAAGTGAGGATTCTAACTATATTGTAAAATACAGAGATGTTCTGGAGATGCACCAAAAATCTAGAGTGCATGTGAACAGAAACCACACCAAACTTGTTCTTTGTAGACTTTCGGTGTGTCTCTTGAACACCTCTACATTTTACATATGTAACATGAAAGGAAAAAATGTAAGGCTGGACCGGGAATCGAACCCGGGACCCCTGCATCACTAGTCAGGTGCTCTACTGACTGAGCTACCCAGGCTGATATCCACGGCCAAAACCATTACATTCCTCCCTCCATTAATTGTCTTCGCCCTTGAAGACACAACCCAAGTTCTTATTGGCCACTGGCAGGACTTTCACCTGCAAGTCATGGGGTGGTCAACAGCACCAAATCTGTAATGGGAAAGGAGAAAATGATGGCTGGACTGGGAATCAAACCCAAGACGCCTACATCACTTGTCAAGTGCTCTACCGACTGAGCTACCCTGGCTGATATCCAAGGCCCAAACCACTACACGTAGTTAGGAACGAGAGACATTTATTCTGTTAGAGTTATCTCTCTTATCAGAGTATCAATGAAGCTTAATATTGCCACATGGACGGAATATCATTTCTTGTTTTTTTTTTTTTTTTTAATTGCTGACTTTCATATTTGCGGAAAAAAAATATGCGGACATATTTGTAGTAATGCTCTTAATCTGTCTAATTTTGCTAGCAAAATTTATTTAATATACCCCAACATATCAGTATTCATTGCAGAGACAAGATACTCTTGGAATTTGTATGAGTTATATTTTATTGATAGATGGAACACATTTTAAAGCCAGATCGAGAATTCTTTGCCGTGTCTGTTGACACAGTGGCGGGGATGACATACGTCAGTGGATCAGGACTCGGCAGGCAATTCCTTCTAGAAAAACTTTGTCAAATAGCAGGAACAAATGTCTTTGCTGCATTCCTCAAATTTTGCAGAGAAAAACATAAAGGTATTTACTCCTCATCCTGTGATTAATATAGCTAGAGTATTATATTAAAGGTAGAAACAAATGTTTAATGCAAATTTTTAAAGTAAAGGACTGAGCTATAGGTAAAATTTGGTATGTTGATATTTGCAGGACTATTTAAAAATAAAATTGCTGAGATATCTGAGGTGTATTGAGATATTACAGTTGAGACCAACATTCTAGATTTGATAACAAAACAGAGAGGTTTATTAGGAATGGATCTGTGTTGAATAATGATGTACTTTGTAATATTTTCTAATTTTGTCTATTATCTTGATATTAATTACAAATCTTAACTAAAAAATAATTGCAATACTTCTGTATGTCATCATTCATATGTTTTGGGGCTGGAAAGGTGGGGAGGATTCATAACAGATCTCTCTGCAAGTGGTGTTGGTTTAAAATTAAAATCAAGCCTAGATTACGTTTGCATTCACTGAAGGCTGGTATTTTATAAAATGCAAATTTCAGTCTGCTTCAAATACAGAGAGGATATTCAATGTTTTGTAGATGAATATGGAATTTATTTCACGAGTGGGACAGGATTTTTTGATATTTTCACGAGTGCGAAGCACGATTGAAAATATCAAAAAATCCTGTCTCACGAGTGAAATAAATTCCATATTCATCTACAAAACATTGAATTTTCTGTTTATTACATTTTCTTTGATTTTCCCTTTGCCTCTGTCTTTTCTTAACACAGTGTCATAGGCTTGACGTCATAGTTGAGCGGTTGAAACGTCATAGCTTAGCAGTTGTGTGATTGAAAACATTACATAGCATGGATTTTAGCAACATATTTGGGAAGAAATTTGCAGTTTTAGCTCTATCAAGATGCTTAGTTACTATCTCTATCTTATGACAGGCCAGAAATTTTTTTTTACTTACTTTGAAATCCTTTCACACTATGAGAGAATATCATTTTGGTATCCTTTCACACTGTGAGAGAATATCACTTTTATTCAATAAATAAATCACAGTATTTCACTGTTGAAAATGTAATAAATACTTTGTATTTAATTGGATTATAATTTTACGAAAAAGATATTACTAAAGATATGTTTTTTTAATAACCACTATTAATATGTGTAAAAGGGACAATGAGCATGCTGTTAATTTTTTCAGGTACGTGGATAATGGCATTATTCTGTCATTTAGGAAATGTTTCATCCCACCCATAGATGCATATTCATCTTTGTGGCCCTTGATGACTAGTCAGTTTTCTAGTTATTGAATATTTCCTGTAAAAAAAATTTTTATTATGTCCCTTTAAACTTTTAATTCTTGAAGAGTTTTTTTTTCCTTTAATGAAAGTCATACACTTAGATACATATTCAAATGAGTCATTATTTTCTTTCCTTGACATTTCCAATGACCCTTTACTTCACTATTCCTTCATTTTGCAGTTACATGTATCTTTAAAAAAAAAGTGCTCATGATATTTTCATTAAACTTTGTTAACCAATAGAATTTGGTGAGAGAAATAAAAAGTATGGCATTTTTTTTTTGACACGTCTTCCTTTAGTTTTGTTTTGAATTTTTTCCCTCTCATTTTGCTCTTAATTAGTTCATCTTATGCCCTGTTCACACAAATGCCCATTAAAAATTTAATATTCGCAGTAAATTAATATGAAGTAAGATAATGTGAATTAAACTAATATAGCGCAAATTAAATAGTGTTCACACAATAGTAAGTGCTAAGTAAACTAATGTGCATTAAAATTTTATTTCTACAGTAAGGCTTTTATGATGTCATTTGCAAATCACGCCACTTTTTTTGAGCAGAAATACCTTTGACATAATGTCTTAAGGTCTGTACATTTTAATGTACATTGTTTATGACCTTAAGAGATCATCATATGATAAAAATTTGCTAAATATGAGCGAATGAGCTTGATACAAGGAAACTTCATTTAGCTGATAGATGGAATGTATCAACACCATCTACCATGCCATATATAAAGAAAAGTGTATCAGTTCTGTGTGTGGGAAAAAAAATTAAAAATATTCCTTCTTTCATCATAATTTACTATTGTCTCTGACCAAAGAAGGAAGGTAAATTTCTTTTCATGTTGCAATGTAAATGTAACTTGGATGGGGTATATTTCCAGTTTATTGTAAATTTACAGAAAAGAAGACATTATCTTATGCGATAAAAGCAGCAGCTCCAAAATTAAAAAAAGCACAGAAAATTTATTATCCTTATGAGAAGTCCTCTGAAAAAGAATCAGTGGAAAAGAAACTTGTAAAGATCATACCAGGAACCAACAGAGAAATACTTGGTAACTGTCATTATTCCTTGACAAAATGCAAATAAGCATAAACTATACGACATTTTCGGTAATAGGAAATTTCCAAAGTACATGATATAAATGTGATTTACTAAAGATAGATTATGCATTCTCATGAACACAGAATTTATCATTGTTTATAGTTTATTTAACCATCAGGGAGTATCGGTTTCATAAAAATGTTTTGTCTTCTAATAATGCCATTATCCAATCATGATTCCCAGTATCTGGGTAGGCATTTGTCTACATGCAGTATAGTGGAAATTTTGATAAGAATGAGGTGTTGAATATACTTTTTCTGTCATCTTAATTTATTACGAGGTCACCAAGTTCATTGAAGTATCTCAGAAATTTAAAATTCTAAAAGGCACATCTTTCTATGGGAGGAGTGTCAGGAGGTCATATTTGATTGTCACCAAGATATAAGCCATGATCATATGTTGGAATAGTTCTTGCATTAGGTCTTAGGTCTGAGAAGTTATATTTTCTTTTGACATTTTACTCTTGATTAGGGTGATTCAGTATTCATCCAATTATGACATTTCCAAAAAGTTGTCAGCTGTTCAAGTCCACAGAAGGCAAGGCTTCTTATTTATTTCCAATCTTGGACTTGGGATTAAGTCTTACATATTCATGTATGCTTTATTTTCAGTCATAAGCAGCAAACCAAATACAGAAGCAACTATAGGTTTGAACCCAAATCCTCAGATTAAACCTATAACACCAAGAATGACCCTTCGTCCTTGTAAACCTCCAAGATTGGATTCCCCCAGAACATACTTTGAAAGTCTTCCAAATTCAAAAGATGCAGCAAAGAGCCGTTTTCAGAAAAATTCCAAATTCCAGCAGCCCAAGAAAAGTGAAACTAGGAAAGAATCTGTTGGAAATTTTAGTAGAGGTGGTCAGGAAAAAGAAATAGTGACATTTTTGCATGCTGAAACAAAGAAGGAAATTTCTTTGGAAAGCCCTGATGTTGAATTCAATGAAAGCAGTCATCAAGATACAAACATTCAAAGTGAAGGAAATTCCAATGTGGAAACAACGGAGGAGAATTTAGATGTTAACAATTCTCTGGTGAACACGTTCTCATTACAGAATGAATTACCTTCGTGCATAAATTCAGTGCTGCCTTGTAATGAAAATAGTCAGGCCACAGAAGGTAAGCATATATTTATTGGTTTTTTTTATTCAGGGCTCTCACACTGCTTTTTGGGAATGGGGCCAGGCCATAAAGATTGGGAAAATAGCAACCTTTCGGGAAATTTTTGGATAAGCATTATACTTCCAAATCATGGTATTCTGGGTATCTGGTCTTTATCGACCTAATTTTTGTTTTGTATGAACAGCAAGTTTAGTTATTAGATATCTAACAACATTTTCTTAAATTTTTTGGAGAAAGGACTTTTGTGAAAATTAATATATTAAAGTGGGGAAAAAAGGTACCTTTTTAAATTGGGAATGGGGCCTTGAACAGCCCCAATTATAAACAATCAATAGTCCTCTTATTTAATGTTTTCTGGTATGTAGCAGTCACTGGCAACCAAAAATGTCAGTTGGAAAACCGCTTGTTTTAATTTCAGGGGGTCAAAGCGAAAGCCTGGTCTTTTACCCCTTTATGTCAAATGAATGTCAAATGAATGACTTTAAGTGACACTTGTGTACTGATGAAAACTAAGGTACATGTATTAATTTTGCATTAGTTGATTGTACTGTCATAATGTTCAAAGTTGCTTTATAAGTTCAACTGAATGAATTTCGCTTTCCAGAAACTTTTCAAGTGAAGCAGGAACCAGACTGGGATTTGGAGAATTCGGGAGGCAACAGTCTATGTCAAGAAACACAGTCTCAGGCAAGCAATGGAGAAAACGAACATCAGTTGGAAACAGGTACTGCCACAATGGCTCTTGTACCACATGTACTATGGTACATGTAATATGGTTGTACTTAAAAACTAATTTAAGATTGCCAACTGTATTTTAAATTGTGACTGGTTAAAGTATGTATATGAAAGCTCTGATAACTGTTGTAAATATTGTCATGATCAATAAGCTGTCACTGTCTTCAAAATTAAGTTTCATGACTTGTGGATTTACGATTCAGACCTCAGGGCAGGGTGTGGCTAAGAGGGGCAATATGTTGAAAATGGTTTATATTGTTGATATTTATTCTTTACACCTGGGCATATATCACATGTACATGTAATCTGAATTGAAGGATTTACATGTATTATAGTTTGGAAGTACATGTAGATTATCAGCAATTCTTGATACTTTGACTTCACAAACTATTTTATTTTTAAGAAATGGACAATTATAAATTTATCCATCAAAGTTTGACTTTGGGGGCAGATAATGTCATTACAGAATATAATTCTTTTCGTTGAAAAGATCCAATTTTAACTTCATTCTTCTTGACTCTTCCTTTTCTAACTAACAAAATCAAGCTTCAGATTATACAATGTGGTAATTTTGTCCTCATGTCAGGTAACTTTTGATAATTTTTTTTTCCAGAAGACTACACAGAGGAGTGTGCTTTGCAAGGTCAGGGTATAGGTGAAGCAAGCCTCAATACTGAGGAGAGTCTACATAGTACAGAGTACAACGATAACCTTGTTATTAAACAGGAACCAGATTGGGATGAGCCAGAGGAAGAGAATACTACAATGGATCCGAAAAATGCTGAAGTTGGGACGAATACCATTGAAGAGAATGATGATGAGACACCAGATGACAGTGAGGAAGATTCAGCTGAAGGTAAAATACCTGATATACAGTCAAACCTTGTTATCTCGAACTCGATGGGACCGAGAAAATACTTCGAGATATCCGAGGATTCAAGATATCTGGGTAAAATACTTAAAGAATAAGCAGTTGGGACTTCCAAATCGCTTTGATATATGCATGGTATTCGAGATATCCGTGTTCGAGATACCCAAGTTCAACTCTACATTGTACCTTAATTGTGTAAAAATTATACAGGAAAAGAATGTTATTTATAAAATTATACAAGGGCCTCTCTGTTGTATTAGGAATCATTTTCCTGCTTGTCTGGTCATTGTTGGGTGTTATAAAATATAAATTTTCTGAAACATAAAGTTAAAAAATAATAAGATGAGGGTGTATAGATATGCATCTGGGTCTGCCATGCTATAATATATTCATTTAAAACAAAAAAAAAACCTTAATATATATTTTTAAGAATTTAAAATGTTTACTCACAAATTTTTATATTTATCGACATATTTGTTGCCGACTTTAATATTACATATAGTGTCAATCATTTCTGTCTTCACATTTCATACAGAAGAAAATTCAGATAAAGAGGATATGGGTCTAAATGATACAGATAAAGAGGATATGGGTCTACATAACACAGATAAAGAGGAGACAGGTCTACATAACACAAACAAAGAGGAGGAGACAGGTCTATATACATGCAATGTCGGAGATCACATGTACTGTGTGCCACTACCTTACAATAAGGTTCCTGAACATAGTAAAGGTAACAAATTCCTTATGACACAACTCTTTAAACTTGACCGATATTCATTTTTAATTTGTTTTTAGACTAATATTTTGGACATTGTGAGCCCCTGATTATCAGTTCTTGCATCTTTGGATCTCAAGGTGTGTCAATTAGAAGATAGGTTACAGTTTATTAGCTTACCTGAACCGAAGGCTCAAGTGAGCTTTTCTGATCAAAATTTGTCCATTGTCTATGGTCGTCATTGTTAACTTTTCACATTTTCATCTCAAGAACCACTGGGGCAATTTCAACCAAACTTTCCACAAAGTATTCTTGGGTTAAGGGGATTCAAGTTTGTTCAAATGAAGGGCCACACCTTCTTTCAAGGGGAGATAATTGTGAATTCGCGAAAAATTTATGGCATTTTTAAAAAATCTTCTTCTCAAGAATTACTGTGCTAGAAAATGAAACTTAAGTGGAAGCATCCTCAGGTAGTGTAGATTCAAGTTCGTTCAATTCATGACCCCCGGGGGTAGGGTGGGGCCACAGTGGGCAATCAAAGTTTTACATAGGAATACAAAGGGAAAATCTTTAAAAATCTTCTTTTCAAGAACAGCAAAGCCATGATTAGTCATATTTATATGGAAGCATCCTCAGGTAGTGTAGATTCAAGTTTGTTCAAATCATGACCCCAGGGGGTAGGGTGGGGCAACAATGGATGATCAAAGTTTTGCATAGGAAAACATAGGAAAATCTTTAAAATTCTTATTCTCAAGAACAGCAAAACCATGATTGGTCACAATAAAATAAAAGCATCTTCTGCAGCAAATGTAGATTCAAATTTGATCAAATCATGACCCCCAGGAGTATACAGGGGCCATAACAGGGGATCATAGTTATGCAAAGGAATATAAAGGATAAATCAATAAAAATTTCTTAAGGAGGGATTCTTGTCTGGTTTCTGACTGGATGAAATATTCAAAGTACATTTGCTTATATGTTTTATATATTTAGATGTAAGAGATTTAAAAGATCATTTTTTTCTTTCCTCATCACAGTTGTACAACTTTAAATAGAAATGGTAAACTGAGTTTGAAATCTAGCAGCTTGGGACTATATTTTTGGCAGAATGGCGGCGTATGAAAATATCTTCTTTTCTGCCTCTCAAAATAATTATAGAACAATGAATTCAGTTATAATTTTTACACAATCAAAGACTTGGAGAAAATTTTTAAATGTAAGTTAAATTAATAATAAGGGACTAAAGTTTTAAAATATATAAAAAAAATATGATTTTCCAAACAAACTACAATTATGTTAGCTTTTAAAAGCTTCCAATCAAAGTTCAGATTTGAGCCAAAAATCAGTAAAAAGTGTTTTTTTCTCTCTTAGTAAATGGTCAAAACTTTTTGTTTTTATATCATTTTGTATCTTTATGTGACAAATTTACCATATGTGAAAATAAGAAAAATTTAAATATAGGAGGCATATAAAAATAACTGAAATATCTTAAAATTTTAAGAAAAATAGAGAAAATTCGGATTAGCCAATATCCATTTTAGTTAAATTATTTATGCCAATTTGGTAACATCAGCTCATAGACCCTATATGGTAATATCTCTTTATGCAAAAAGAAAAACATTTAATTTATTGAAATAGAAGTAGGTATCATATGATTTGCAACAGTAATTTTTTTATTCTTAATGTCCAGGGAAGAGATACTGACCTTGACCTGCCCTTGCCTCTAATATAAAAAGGTCAAATTTAATCTAACGGATACCATCACTTAGTGATATTGTCTTCTTGATTCTGTGAAAATTTCATTGATTTTTAAATATAAGAAATAAGTGTTCTTTTGAGAAGAATCCCTCCTTAAGAACAAACAGCAAAGATATTATTAGTCATGTTTGTTCAAATCAATTGTTTAAATACCAAAGCAAACTGTTAACAGATGTAAGAAAGATGTAAGAAAGAATAAAAAATCAGCAAGATTTGCATATTACATGTATGCTAGGGGCATTTGCATCCCATAATTCAATTCAGTTATATTTTCCTCATGGGTACGATTACTTGTATGAAAGTATTTGATAATGAAATTATTTGTGACTACATATATACATTCACCTTTTCTTCTATTAAATTAACAGAAAGCAGGAGGGTAAGCAATGCTTTAACGAAGTTGCAGCAGGCAAGGGAGGAAGAAGAATCCAGAAGAGAAGAGGAGGAATCCAGACAAGAAGAGGAGAGAGCAGAAGAAATAGAGACAGAAAACAAGCCTGTACCAGAGAAGAAGCAGCAGGTCATTCTTTATAGATGTGTGATTAGAAATCCCAAGACTGGAAAATTTTGTAGCTTAGGCAAGTTAAAAAGGTATGAAGCTTTACAGTTAAATGCCCAGAAGGCAAAGGAGAAAAGAATTCTGGAAACTAAAATCAAACAGGACTCTACTGATGAATATACTGGGAGGTTTGTCTTTGAGGACCCGCAATCTCAGACGGGGTATATTGTCCGCAAAATGGAATGGAAATGTCACTGTGGGCAAAAGTTCAAGAGTCAGCATGAATTTGCTGAACATGATAAAGAATTCCATAACACTAGGTTGAGATTATGTGCATACTGTGGAGAGTTTTTGGAGCGACGTAAATATAAATATCACGTTCGAAAACATGAACCAAATACCAAAAAATATCAATGCAGTTTGTGTGGCAATAACTATTCTACTTCTGTGAGTCTGAAACGCCATATGGAGTATCTTCATGGTGGTAAGAGAGTACCCTGCAATGAGTGTGGGAAAAATTTCAAAAGTACGTCAGCATATCGAAGACATTTATTAACTCACAAGAATATCTTAAATCATCTGTGTAACTACTGTGGCAAAAAGTTTATATCTAAGTATGCCATGGAGACACATGCCCGAGTTCATACCGGGGAAAGACCATTTGCTTGTGAATACTGTGGGCTCAGATTTAATCACAATGTTAGTAGAAAAACACACATTAAAAAGGCTCATTCGGAAAGCGTGCTTAAAGATGATGTTAATGATTCTTGACTTAAAAATCCTGTGTTATTATATTACTTTGTTATCTTGATTCAGAAAAAATGTAAAATAATTTTTTTCTTGTACAAGTATTTAATTTGAAGAACATGGAAGGTTAGTATTGAAAGTGTTCTACATGTAGTTTATGATGTTTCATGCAAAGGTCATTCAAAAAATAAGTAGACATTGTCCCTCATCATATTATTATTTTTACAAGATTTAAGATTAACACATTTTCATATGTAAAAACATATATTTTTTCGATGTGTGACGTTTCATTCCATTTGATTAAATGGAACTCCTGTTACTCAGTTTTAAAAGCAACATGTTTTGTCACCACGGAGCACGCATAACAACATTGTAACTTCAAAAAAACATCGAGAAAGTTTCTTAAAATTACTCTGCCTTTTCATTTCACAAACGCTTTGTAGTGTCTTACCCATTCTTAAAAACATATCCATAATACTTGGACACCTAGTTTACTTACAAATGTTGTAGGGCTGTATCATTATATCGATATATCAATACGTATTGATATTCAAGAATATATCGTATCGAAAAAATGACTTCCAATACGTATCGGGCAAGTAGTTTTTCATATAATTCTGTGAAAAAATTGGAAATTTCAATCACCAAAGTTTGTATTTAACTGTTTTGAATTAAAATTGATCAATAATGATATAATCATTAAGGAGGTAGCACATCTTAGATAATTATTTCAAAATACACAGACACCTTTATTTAACATGTTGTTTTTACCATGTTTACAGTCGTTAAAAGTCTGAATTTGAAGTGTAATTTGTAATGACAGTGAGACGAGATCTTTGAAATGAGTTGCAAAACAATTAGTTTTTATAAATTCATGCATTAAATGACTTTTAAGACTTTTTGATAGACTTGTTAAAGAATCCAATATATCGCATATCGAATTATAAAATATCGTATTGTATCGTATAGAAATTTTTTGCTCAATACACAGCCATAATTGTTGGAGTAGCTTAAGTTAGATTGTCAGTGTTTTCAAATTCTTTAATGCGTAACTCAGCCTTCACAAGTTCCGCAACAGGGAAGTGCACATCACGTTTAATGACGTTACTAACTCTTTCGACATGATTTTTAACTTTAATCTGTTTCTTCGCAGACCGTCCATCGTCCAATTCAAAGTCTCTACCACTCAAAAACTGTCTTGTCCATGTATGTACAAATGCACGGCTCATTTTTAGCTCTACTGGTCAGAGACCAGAAGAGCTTATGCGATAGTAAGGTGTCCGTCGTCCGTCCGTCTGTCTGTCTGTCTGTCTGTCTGTCTGTCCGTCTGTCTGTAAACAATTTTTCAAAACGCTACTCCTCCTACAGTTTTGGTCCGATTTCAATATAACTTGGCACACAAGTAGACTACACTAAGATACATAATTTAGTGCATCGGTTTTTGATTTCGATGGACGGTGTTGCCATGGTTACTAAAAATAGAAATTTCTGTGAAATTCCTTTAAAACGCTACTCCTCCTACAGTTTTGGTCCGATTTCAATATAACTTGGCACACAAGTAGACTACACTAAGATACATAATTTAGTGCATCGGTTTTTGATTTCGATGGACGGTGTTGCCATGGTTACTAAAAATAGAAATTTCTGTGAAATTCCTTTAAAACGCTACTCCTCCTACAGTTTTGGTCCGATTTCAATATAACTTGGCACACAAGTAGACTACACTAAGATACATAATTTAGTGCATCGGTTTTTGATTTTGATGGACGGTGTTGCCATGGTTACTAAAAATAGAAATTTCTGTGAAATTCCTTTAAAACGCTACTCCTCCTACAGTTTTGGTCCGATTTCAATATAACTTGGCACACAAGTAGACTACACTAAGATACATAATTTAGTGCATCGGTTTTTGATTTCGATGGACGGTGTTGCCATGGTTACTAAAAATAGAAATTTCTGTGAAATTCCTTTAAAACGCTACTCCTCCTACAGTTTTGGTCCGATTTCAATATAACTTGGCACACAAGTAGACTACACTAAGATACATAATTTAGTGCATCGGTTTTTGATTTCGATGGACGGTGTTGACATGGTTACTAAAAATAGAAATTTCTGTGAAATTCCTTTAAAACGCTACTCCTCCTACAGTTTTGGTCCGATTTCAATATAACTTGGCACACAAGTAGACTACACTAAGATACATAATTTAGTGCATCGGTTTTTGATTTCGATGGACGGTGTTGACATGGTTACTAAAAATAGAAATTTCTGTGAAATTCCTTTAAAACGCTACTCCTCCTACAGTTTTGGTCCGATTTCAATATAACTTGGCACACAAGTAGACTACACTAAGATACATAATTTAGTGCATCGGTTTTTGATTTCGATGGATGGTGTTGCCATGGTTACTAAAAATAGAAATTTCTGTGAAATTCCTTTAAAACGCTACTCCTCCTACAGTTTTGGTCCGATTTCAATATAACTTGGCACACAAGTAGACTACACTAAGATACATAATTTAGTGCATCGGTTTTTGAATTCAATGGATGGTGTTGCCATGGTTACTAAAAATAGAAATTTCTGTGAAATTCCTTTAAAACACTACTCCTGCTACAGTTTTAGTCTGCTTCTAATATAATTAGGCATACAAGAAGACTACACTAAGATACATAATTTATTGCATTGGTTTTTGAATTCGATGAACAGTGTTGCCATTGTTACTTAAAATAGAAATTTCTGTGAAATTCCTTTAAAACGTTACTCCTCCTACAATTTTGGTCTGATTTCAATCTAATTTGGCACACAGTTAGAATACACTACGATACATAATATGTATTTCTTTTTTTTTATTTGGGTGAATGGTGTTGTCATGGTTACCGGTACTAAAAATAGAAATTTCCGGGAAATACTTTCAAAACGCTACTACTCCTAGTTTTCATTTGATTTCAATATAACTTGTCACAAAAGTAGACTACATTAAGATACATAATTCTATTTATTGTTGCATGTTGCAATGTTTCAAATCCAAGTGCTACTTTTCTTTTGTTATACAAACAGACCAGTAGAGCTACAGTCTCATCAGAGACTTCTGGTTGATATATTTCCTGGTTCCTCCAGCATTTTCAGAGTTTGTTTAGAGGTTTCCCGTATGCAAAACGAAATTTTATCGCTACTCACTGCTCCCTGACGTCCTTGTTTTTTGCTTTTTTTTTTTTTTTAATGAAGTCTGTCTTTAAATATTGATATCTTTTAAATGAAGCGATGTATTACATTACCTTTTAGCATCTTAAGTAATAGAACAATACAAAATTTGAACATTTAAATTTCGTTTAAGCGCCACTTATTAGAGATGTGACTATAGACATTATAAAGTGTATAATTAGTACATAACTCAATTTTGACCCTGCTCAGTGACCCATTTTTAGCTCTACTGGTCAGAGACCAGAAGAGCTTATGCGATAGTAAGGTGTCCGTCGTCCGTCCGTCTGTCTGTCTGTCTGTCTGTCTGTCTGTCTGTCTGTCCGTCTGTCTGTAAACAATTTTTCAAAACGCTACTCCTCCTACAGTTTTGGTCCGATTTCAATATAACTTGGCACACAAGTAGACTACACTAAGATACATAATTTAGTGCATCGGTTTTTGATTTCGTTGGACGATGTTGCCATGGTTACTAAAAATAGAAATTTCTGTGAAATTCCTTTAAAACGCTACTCCTCCTACAGTTTTGGTCCGATTTCAATATAACTTGGCACACAAGTAGACTACACTAAGATACATAATTTAGTGCATCGGTTTTTGATTTCGATGGACGGTGTTGCCATGGTTACTAAAACTAGAAATTTCTGTGAAATTCCTTTAAAACGCTACTCCTCCTACAGTTTTGGTCCAATTTCAATATAACTTGGCACACAAGTAGACTACACTAAGATACATAATTTAGTGCATCGGTTTTTGATTTCGATGGACGGTGTTGCCATGGTTACTAAAAATAGAAATTTCTGTGAAATTCCTTTAAAACGCTACTCCTCCTACAGTTTTGGTCCGATTTCAATATAACTTGGCACACAAGTAGACTACACTAAGATACATAATTTATTGCATCGGTTTTTTTATTCAATTGACGGTGTTGCCATGGTTACTAAAAATAGAAATTTCTGTGAAATTCCTTTAAAACACTACTCCTGCTACAGTTTTAGTCTGCTTCTAATATAATTAGGCATACAAGTAGACTATACTAAGATACATAATTTATTGCATTGGTTTTTGAATTCAATGAACAGTGTTGCCATGGTTACTTAAAATAGAAATTTCTTTGAAATTCCTTTAAAACGTTACTCCTCCTACAATTTTGGTCTGATTTCAATCTAATTTGGCACACAGTTAGAATACACTACGATACATAATATGTATTTCTGTTTTTTTTTATTTGGGTGAATGGTGTTGTCATGGTTACTAAAAATAGAAATTTTAGTGAAATACTTTCAAAACGCTACTACTCCTAGTTTTCATTTGATTTCAATATAACTTGTCACAAAAGTAGACTACATTAAGATACATAATTCTATTTATTGTTGCATGTTGCAATGTTTCAAATCCAAGTGCTACTTTTCTTTTGTTATACAAACAGACCAGTAGAGCTACAGTCTCATCAGAGACTTCTGGTTGCTGTCTTAAATCTGTGATAGTTTAGATATATATCAAGATATATTCCATTTTTAGCTCTACTGGTCAGAGACCAGAAGAGCTTATGCGATAGTAAGGTGTCCGTCGTCCGTCCGTCTGTCTGTCTGTCTGTCTGTCCGTCTGTCTGTAAACAATTTTTCAAAACGCTACTCCTCCTACAGTTTTGGTCCGATTTCAATATAACTTGGCACACAAGTAGACTACACTAAGATACATAATTTAGTGCATCGGTTTTTGATTTTGATGGACGGTGTTGCCATGGTTACTAAAAATAGAAATTTCTGTGAAATTCCTTTAAAACGCTACTCCTCCTACAGTTTTGGTCCGATTTCAATATAACTTGGCACACGAGTAGACTACACTAAGATACATAATTTAGTGCATCGGTTTTTGATTTTGATGGATGGTGTTGCCATGGTTACTAAAAATAGAAATTTCTGTGAAATTCCTTTAAAACGCTACTCCTCCTACAGTTTTGGTCCGATTTCAATATAACTTGGCACACAAGTAGACTACACTAAGATACATAATTTAGTGCATCGGTTTTTGATTTCGATGGATGGTGTTGCCATGGTTACTAAAAATAGAAATTTCTGTGAAATTCCTTTAAAACGCTACTTCTTCTACAGTTTTGGTCCGATTTCAATATAACTTGGCACACGAGTAGACTACACTAAGATACATAATTTAGTGCATCGGTTTTTGATTTTGATGGATGGTGTTGCCATGGTTACTAAAAATAGAAATTTCTGTGAAATTCCTTTAAAACGCTACTCCTCCTACAGTTTTGGTCCGATTTCAATATAACTTGGCACACAAGTAGACTACACTAAGATACATAATTTAGTGCATCGGTTTTTGATTTCGATGGATGGTGTTGCCATGGTTACTAAAAATAGAAATTTCTGTGAAATTCCTTTAAAACGCTACTTCTTCTACAGTTTTGGTCCGATTTCAATATAACTTGGCTTACAAGTAGACAACACTAAGATACATAATTTAGTGCATCAGTTTTTGATTTTGATGGACGGTGTTGCCATGGTTACTAAAAATAGAAATTTCTGTGAAATTCCTTTAAAAAGCTACTCCTCCTACAGTTTTGGTCCGATTTCAGTATAACTTGGCACACAAGTAGACTACACTAAGATACATAATTTATTGCATTGGTTTTTGAATTCAATGGACAGTGTTGCCATGGTTACTAAAAATAGAAATTTCTGTGAAATTCCTTTAAAAGACTACTCCTGCTACAGTTTTAGTCTACTTCTAATATAATTAGGCATACAAGAAGACTATACTAAGATACATAATTTATTGCATTGGTTTGTGAATTTGATGAACAGTGTTGCCATGGTTACTTAAAATAGAAATTTTTGTGAAATTCCCATTAAACGTTACTCCTCCTACAATTTTGGTCTGATTTCAATCTAATTTGGCACACAGTTAGAATACACTACGATACATAATATGTATTTCTGTTTTTTTATTTGAGTGAATGGTCATGGTTACTAAAAATAGAAATTTCCGTGAAATACTTTCAAAACGCTACTCCTCCTACAGTTTTCATTTGATTTCAATATAACTTGGCACAGAAGTAGACTACATTAAGATACATAATTCTAATTATTGTTGCATGTTGCAATGTTTCAAATCCAAGTGCTACTTTTCTTTTGTTATACAAACAGACCAGTAGAGCTACAGTCTCATCAGAGACTTCTGGTTTTACTTATATTATTTGAATCTATTGTTAAAATATGTGTACCAAATTTGGTTATAATATGACTTTTAATAAAAAAAAGTTATGACAAAAGTCTACAAATTCTTTGAATGACCCTCGTACATGTATTTAATAAAACTGAAAATTCACTTCTGAGTTTTTTTTTTATCTTGGAAAAGTTGAAATTGGATTAGTGGGTTCAACAATTAGAAAGATGAGACAGAGCCAGTACATACTGTTTGGATCATCTTTCTCATTGTCCACATTATAAGTCTTCATAATATTAGCAATAAAAACCACAG